AAAATCTTCGCATATCCACACATTCAATGTTTCTCATACGATTGTCATTCTATTTTGGTCGTGGACCGTTTTGTATCAGAATTGATCTTGAAAGAAGCAAAAAAGATTAAGCTCAAGTTCAAGCTCGAGCCGTGTTTAAAACTCGACGACTAGAAACTCTTCTCCACAAGTTCCACAAGTCCCCAAGTCAAAATCTATTTATTTCCTTACTTTTTTCTTTTTCGGAGTAAGAATAAGCGTAAAGTCTGTGAAGCTTTAGTTTAAGCTTCTGTCACCTTGTGCGTCAACTTGTCTCAAGTTCGCGTCGACTTCCGTCTTGTATTTCATTTTGGAGTGGGACAGGAAAGATTTCGAACATTTGACTAACAATTCATCTGAAGCGAAAAGAAGATCGGTAGAAGAACCTCTTTCATCAAACGTCTCACCATCAACAATACACTCGACAATACCTTCACTTTTTTGAGATTTACGTCAAGGGTCAAGATTCAATCAATCAATAAATAACCTACCCACCTCGATTTTAAAACGTCAAGAACGTTAATGTGCCGACTTTCCTAACCCGCACCAGCTTCCATATCTGACGTCCGAGAATCTGCCAAGAAATTAAGCCGCGTAACTTCATTAAGAACAGAAACACGAGAGGATATATCTTGAATTCACGAGTCAATTGATTTGGATAGCCCTATTACGATCTGACATTGAGCAGACTTTATCTGCCATAATTTAGTTCATCTACAAACACAATCGATAATCAATTACTTAATCCATACTCCTCCATGGAGACCTACCACGGACATGTACGCACTCCTGCGGATGCGATTAAGTTATTCGAAGCCTGCCGACTTGGTCTATTACCTCGAGTACAAAGAAGACTATCGGAGAAGGAGAGACAGTCCATAAAGGCTGGATCAGTATTTGTTTGGGATGAAAGGGAAGCTGGAATGCGAAGATGGACTGACGGGAAATCATGGAGCGCAAGCAGAGTCTCGGGGAGCTTTTTAACATATCGGGAGATGGAAGGAAAGAGAGGAGGTGGTCAATTTGTACCACCGCCAGCACGGAGAACGGCAGGAAAGACACCGGACAGTGGAAAGGGTAGCGACGACGATCAAGATATGGACGGAGATGGACCAGACGGATACCGGTATAAACCTGATGGGTTGATGAAACAATCCTTCAGTATCACGACTTCTACTGGACATCATCTTCATTTAATCAGCTACTACTTCTCGCGACATCATCCAAATGCTCCCGAGCTTCCACAGCCTACAAGTGACCCACAACTTCAGCGAATTGTCCCTGAAAAGGGCATGTATCCAGAATCCACAGTTCATGAAGCTCAGGGTCCAGCTATCACCAGAGCGCCAATGCAACAAGGTCCTTATATGCAACAGCCACATCCACATATGCATCAATCTCAACATCGAGTTTCATATGGGTATCCTTCGGGATATGGCCCATGGCCACCATCGCCGGTTTCCACTCCTCCATACCATCCTCAACAGATGTATTCATCACAGCTTCCTCCGCCACCACCTGGGTCGATGCATCCTTCCCCTTATCACATGGCACCGGGACCTCCACATACATCTCCTTACCAATCTCACCAGTATAGTCCTCATCACCATCCTAGTCACGCTCCTGGCATGATGGCGCATGGTCCACCACAACCAACAGTATATGATCGACCTCCACCACCTCTCTCAAACACCTCTTTGCCACCACCTCCCCCACACAACTATCAAAACGGTGCTCCTCAGCCACATCGCCCAGCCTATCGTCCCAGTCCTCAAGCTGAACATGCCAGAATACAAGCTGAACAGCATGCACTGATGGCTCAAAGAGCGTTACAAACAAGTGGAATGATTGATCCAAGATTGGCCCAAGCGCCGCCACTTCCCCCAGTTAATATCGGACCCAACGGGGTTCAGAGAACAACTACTCCACCAAGGCAGGCAACAATTTCCCCGGCTCACACACCAAAGAGTCTCCATGAACAATCAGCCAATTCTCCAAATGGAACACCAAATGGAATTAGTAAATCAGAGGCTCAAACAAAGCCATCTATCTCGAGTCTTGTTCATAACACCGATTCAGCTTGTGTCCTAGAGGATAACAAATCGAACAGCGGCAATACTTCCAGACCCGGATCAACTAGTCCAAGGCAAAATGACAAGGTTGAATCAAAGATAGATGAGGAACAGAAGGCTTCGGGTGTTGCAAGTGGGGCATCAGAAATCGGAAAATTAAACGCTGGAATTTCTGCCGCAGGGCTTGGATGTAATGAAAGGGAAGATCGAAGAGCCATAAGTGTCTTGGATCGAAAATTTATGATCTAGAGGGAGAGGGGTATGGATGGCATTAGGGGCATGAACATTTGGCGTGCAAAATTATTGGAAAGGAGAGGTTTGGAGGGTCAGGCAATAATGGCGTTCGGTATGATGAGCGGAGTTTCGCTTTTCAGGAATGATATCCCATACTTTCGTTTTTTTTGGTTTCGTTTTATTGCAGCATGCATAGTTTTCATACATTTCTTCTCTGTACAATTTTAGATGAACAATCAGGCTTTTCTTCATAATGAATGGAATAAGCAAAGGGGTACCTATGGCTCGGTGGTTTGTTAGTTTGTCTGTGGATGGTTTAAAGTTCCATTACATTGCATTGCTATGGAGTTTACTTTGGCTACTTCTCTTCCGTGGTTTCTGAGGAGGAGAGGGAAGGAGATGAGACGAGATGATTAGATGGGATATCATCGACTCATTCTACTTTACATTACGTTATATTACATAGCTAGATTCACATAAATTCAGAGGGAAAAGAAGAACCCATTTTGAACAATTTGGTCTTGTGTCTGTGATAGCTTAATTGAGATGGTATGAAATGAAATGAAATGAGATGAGACGAGACGAGATGAGCAGATGTACTGAGATGAGATGAAACAAAAGAAGAGGACCCCCAAATTCACACGTGTGTGCGTTTGTAGGTACCTATGCAAAGGATACTAGAACTCGAGTGAGTTGAGTGTGCGGAATGGAGTGGGGGAAGAGAGGGAGGGAGCCTAGTGCTTGGGTTGGGGGTGGTGGGGGTGGTGGGGGTTGTAGAATGAGAGGGGAGGGGGCAGGGGGCAGGGTAGGAGGGATATGTATTGTGCTGTGCTGTGCTGCAGATTTGAATATGAATACGAATATAAAGTAGAATAAATAGAATAATCATTTGAAGAATTATATATGACAAAAGAATTAAAAAAGAATTAACAAATGAACGATTGAATTATTATACTTGAAGTAATAAAATGTAAGATGATGGATGAGATGGGAAAGGATGGAATGTGATATAAATTAATTTGATTTGATTTGATCCGGTCCCGACACAGTGGTTCACTCATATTCCATATCTTCTGCATACACACCTAGATATATATAGGTACCTATATACACCATGTCATGTATGATTAATAGTATACGCATATTTATAATGGTGCTACTGTGGGTCTGCTTGCTTGGCGATGTTTGGAGGGTGTGTGGTTGTGGAGGTGGGATGAATGAGGAGAGTCGAGGTGTGAACTGGAGTTTGGGTTTGAGCTGGGTTGATTGCGGATGATGGATTGGTGGTGGTGGTGTGTGTAGATGTAGATGCAGAGGGAGGGGTGGTGGGATGAGATTGGATGAGATGGGAGGGGAGGGGGATATTGCTGGGTTGGATATTTTAAGGTTGTGTGTGTATGTTTTTCTTTGGAATGAGAGGGGAAGAGAAGAAGGATGGATAATGGGGAGGGGTCTCTAATGGGATGTGCAGATGGATGGTTTCTGTTTTGGATGGATGGAATGGTAGGGTAGTGAATTTGTGGATATTGTAATGCAGAGATTTGCGGCGTGATTGCTAGTGTATGTGGGTATGTATAGGTACTTGTATGTAACGTGGAATTGTATCTTACATAACGTACTAGATAGGAAGAGAACTGAAAAGAGGAGAAGACGAAAGAAAGTGGAGAGGAGTTATTTTTAAATTTGTGTTTTAATCATTATTCTACTCTACTACTCTAGCTCTCTACCCAAGACTCTGGTAATCAACGATTCGATTATGTATGAGATGAGATGAGATTGTTTGATAATTCATCAGATTGTAGGAATAGCACATATGGATATCCACATATATAATAAATATAACATAATGAAAACTGGGATGGGATGGGATGAGACAGGAGCCTCAAGAAATTAAGTCAAGTCTGATCTTGTCTCATCTCATTTCATTCCATCTCATCTGACCTCCCCCATTCTCCCCCCAAATTTTCGGACGGCTATTTGGTCCTGGCCGAGTACCTACGAAGGTCTATCAATCAAATCAGCATTTCGTCGCCGAATTATTTCACCGAAGTATTTTACCGAATCACCTCACCGAATCTCACCCTTCGGTGAGCGCCACTTGCATCCGTGGTATCCAAAGAGCCTAAAACCGGGTGCGTATGTACATAAACACAAACATAAACAAGCATACTCGTACACATACCCACGTTCCATAATCTCGCTCCATTCTAAGACTCTCGACATAGCACATACCCTGCATCTCTCTACTCCGTAGAAAGATGAGTCTAGGCCACACTCCATCTCTTGTCTGATTCCCCGTGAAAATTTCCACACGCTAAACTTCGTCAACGGCTGTGGTGGCATGGTGGCTGTAATGGCAAGAAAGGGGGTGTGCTTCAAAGCCTGCAACATGCGCCAACTATGCAGATGTGAGCATGCGAGCACGGAAGCGAGGTAAGAAAGGCGTAATGATATGGTAAACTGAGACCCCAACTTTGGGGTGCTGAGTCAAGACAGGGGGTGGTGCATAAGGTGTGGGTGGAGAGTTCGAGGTAGTTGTGGGAAGTTCTTTGGGAAGAGTAGGCAGGGAATAAGGATGGATAGTAACATCGGACAAGGTGACGAATAGGAGTTTTATCTCGAAATTATCACTCAATTTGCAGATTTTGGGAGAAATACAAAGGAGAATTTCCTATCAAAATAAGCTCGCGTAAAACAGGAATATAATAAATGTAACTTTCCGTCAAACTTGACTTGAAGTCGAGACAAACGTGTGCATGCGGGGTCGTGGCGCTTAATTCTCAGCCTACAAAGCGCAGCGCCTGCCTGCCCACCTAAAACCCACGCCGAGTTACATAGCTACCCAAGAGGCACTGCAAAACACAAGGTGTTGCGTGTCGGTCGAAATTACCCAAACTAGCCATCCGGGATCGTCAGTTCATGTTCCAGATTGCGCTTCGGCGCTTGTCTAAGGCTGGCGGATAAATTAAAACAATATGCTCTTTCGACTTTTACACTTTCGAAACTATCAAGGCTATGCTTCAACGACGTGTCGGAAGTTGTTAATCACATAGTCTAGCAACCCAAAATGGGTGAATTCCCTGGCCCTTCCGTATCTTCATCACATCTGATATATCTATCAATGGATCCTCTCACATCTCAGATCTTGGCAGCCTATAGGAAGTTACCCTATTCCCTGTGTTATTGACATTCGGTTGGATTTCCGAAATTCCATTATTTCAACATCGACCTAGGTAGTCTTGACGATTGGAAAGTAAGCTTCATCTCATACACCGGCGTGATATTCGTTGGTCATTGAAACAAGGAGATTCAGAATCTGGTGAATCGATATCCTGAATTCGAGGGGTATCGGTGACTTTGCGTGAGGGCTTTTTCTTCGATGTGACGATATGTTAGATGCTACTCTTGCAGTGCACAATCACCAACTGATATGAATGCAGTGCTACACACTTCAACCAGAATATTCACGCCCTTTTCAATTTCCAAACCATTTAGTGCTTCTATTGTTGGTATGAAAATGATGGAGAGTATTTAATGCGAAAAAAAACGGCAACACTAATGTTCAGTAATTAAACTCAGATAGGTATTGAAACGAATCTTTACTTCTGGGGTCTGTAAACAATCAGGTATAGAGAACCCGGCCAAATTGATCCACCCGTTCCGTTAACTATAAACTTTAACCTAACACAAACTTCTATGCATAGCCCGCAAACTTTATGCGGGCACCTACTGTACCTCTGAAATGAGAACGCGACCTTTTACAATCGATTTGTCAAATTCAAATGACCTGTGAATAGATAATCATACACCATTTCCGTGGCCCGCCGAAAGCTCGAGCTGGGGGCCAGGGGCATGCACATGCGAATGAGGCTGGAATCAGAATGAATCTTGTTGAAGATTCGGATGTGCAACACCTGGAGTTAGATACACTGTTGTAGTTTGGGGGCACACGTTCGCAATTATGGTTTCGGTAAAGATTTGCGGTAAGTTTTCAGTTATGTGGAGAGGATTCTAACTTGACATCTTAGTCAAGCGCTTTCAATTTGTATCATTTAAGGGAAAAAAGCGGTTGAGGGTTTGTTGATTAGTTAGTTGAAAGCTAGGGAGTGGAGAGGATGGCGGCGAGCAAACAACGTCATATGACATTTCGCAAGGAGGCGAAGCTGACTTTGTAGCGATTATGCTGAAGTTGGTGTAGACAAGCATCATCCGAAGATGGCATCATCACTAGAGTGTGTTGGTAGAGTGAAAAGATGCACTGAATTGTAATAATTCTTGCCTCTCAGGTCGCCTACAGCGAGGCATTTTCCTGTTGTCAAGAGATTGTCGCTGCATGAATTAGTGATCTCATGTCATAAATCTTTCTATTCCCATGATACCCACTATAATCGTGTCGATCGGGCTTCCCTAAGAAAGCCTCGTGGCAAAGCTATCTCGGGGTTGCTGATCCTCGCCTTGAAACCACAATGCGCCATGTTGATTCATTTCAGCAATCGCATCTCCCAACCCACCTTGGAAATGCGACTATCTCTCTGATGTTCTGGACACCAGAGAGATACCCTAGCAATCTATCGAATCCCAAGCCGAACCCTCCATGAGGTACGCTTCCCCATCGCCTCAGTTCTGCGTACCATTTCAAGGAACCAAATTCTTCTTCCCCTGCATCACCTCGTAACATACCATTCGCTCGCATTGCAGAGATGAGTTCTGGCAATCTATACTCACGCATAGATCCACCTACAATTTCACATGCTTCTGGAACTAGAAGATCAAAGCACTGGACAGTCTCCTGCGTTCCTCCTGCACGCGAATTTTCTGAAGATAGCATATAAAATGGTTTGATGCTTTTTGGATAGTCTGTTACGAAAACAGGCGATCCAAGTCCGACCTTATTGGCGATATATCGCTCGTGTTCAGCTTGAAGACCTGAACCCCAAGCAGGAGGATGTTCAAAAGTTTGGCCACTATTTTCAAGTTCTTCGATTGCTTGCGCATAAGTGATCCGCGGCCAGGGCGCCTTCATCATACCTTCCCATCTTCGGGTCAATTCATGTCTTCTGCTTATTGTATCTTTCTCCTCATCTCCGCTTCGCTTCGATTCTAATATTTCTCTCCCGACTTGAGTAGAATATAGATTCGTTGTCAAATGTCTCAGCATGTTTTCCACAAGATCCATAATTTCATCCATTTTTTCAACGAAACTGCACTCTGCTTCCAACATGTAGAACTCGCTCAAGTGTCGTGGCGTATCACTTTTCTCGGCTCGAAATGTAGGGGATAATGTCCATACTCTTCCTACTGATTGGGCCAAAGCCTCCAAGTGCAGTTGACTCGAAACAGTCAAGTATTTTGGCGATCTGAAGAATGTTCCATCATCACCTTTCCCAACTGGTCCTTTGTGCGCGCTACCGACCTCAAAAACTTCCCCCGCGCCTTCACAATCTGAAGATGTAATTATAGGAGGATGCGTTTGAACGTAATCCTGTTCAGCAAAGAATTGTGTCAGAGAAGCTATACTTTGCGATCGGAATCGAAGTAATGCTGAATTGAAGGGCGTCCGCGTCCGCAAATGAGGAATGGTGCGAAGGTATTCAGGCGTATGGTATTTGTTCTGTAGCGGAAATGTCTGCCAATCCAGATCAGTAGTGATCATCAATAACAACGTATTGCATCCAAGCCTTACATACGGCGGGATCCGCGGCACCTAAAACATCTACTTCAAGCACATGTAATTCATTGCTTTGTGCCTTCTGGTTCGGGGAAGGTTTCCAGTATCCGGTGAGGCGTACAGCTGTACCCGTTGAAAGTCTATCGTACGATTAGGAGTGGAAGAGAACTTATTTGTATGGTTATCAGACCTTTCAGCTTGTTGCGGAGTAAGAAGAGCTTGTAACGGTTGCACACTTGAGCCATCGCCAATTGAAGCAAACGATATCTTTTTTTGGTTCCTAATTGAACGAATAAAGCCATTGACATTGACTTGAACCTCATCTACATTTTCGGGAGATGTTCCAAGTAATTTCGCAACAGATAATTGGGAAGATCTAGTAGGATAAGAAATACTGAAGCTCCTTAATTGAACAAAAGATCGTGCGACATATTTTGATTTTGACAAAAAGCGGGGTTGTACCATTGTTTCTTATTCGATATTTCAGAGGAGCAGGCGACTTGGCAAGATCGACAAGATTAATCTTAAAACTCTCCAAGCGGAATAATTGTGGTTGCCTTTGGTGACTTTGATGTCGTGTCAATCATACATTCTTTTTGATGTTCATGCTTTTCTTCGAGTATCGTATCTGATATTAGAAGACAGAGTGGTAAATGAGGGTCACCGTAGACGCGCGCTAAATGCGGTTCTAAGGAATTAGATAAAGCATTGCCGAACCGGAACGACCCGAGCCGTTGGCTAAGCATTCCCAACTTTCCATCAGATCTGATTCATGATCAATTAACAAACTAAATCGTTAAAATGTCCACATTATCAGTTCTAACTAGACAGCTTATGGGCCGTGATCTAAGTATATCTATATATCGAGATCTGGAAACTCTAACCTTCGAATCCTCGTCAGGGGTTCATAGGATTACGAGGCTGGGCGTCGCCAAAAGCAATTCAAAATTGGAGCAAATTTTTCATATTGCTTTCTCACACCACTTGTTTATTCGTTTTTATCATCCCTCAATTTCTCCCAAATGAATTGTATAAACAGGCTTATACATCAATGATTCCTCTGCCACAGTATACTAAGTGACGAAAGCCTGCCTTACACAACGATTTCTGGAATGTACCCCTATCTGTATAACGTTGTACAGTACCGGTATCCCATTATTACTGTCTATACCCGTTATCATTTTGAACCAGTTCGAACATGCATGGACTAATCTTGTTTCTCATCTGCCCTTACCTAGTCTTAATGGAGAATGACGATAGTTGACAGATCTATTTCTCGCGAATCTTATGTAACCTACAGGATTTGATCAAAAGATCTCTGGGTCGGTCTCCGGTAACATGCATACTTTTTGTCACTTGGTAGCAAGGACTCGGAAGCTGCAACCCATATCATCCGCCTCCAATTCACTGTCGATATGTCTTCAGCTCGGTGGAAATAATCTTGACTCAAAGAGTCTGGACCTAAAAAATCAATCATCAATATGCCTTTTCTTGACTGACAAAAGTTCCGGGAATCTATCAGCTCCAGGTCTGTGATCGAGATCGTGCATCAGGAATGTGGACTAGATCGCGCTCGCAGCATTTACTTTTTTTTGAACCACATCTCTTGTATCCCTTCGTTTATATATACTTGAGCCATGCCCCTCGTCTTGTTGTCGATTATCGCGGTGAATTGCATCTACTATAGCTTTTAATTTAAGAACTTGCTTCGATATATACCCATCGTTTTTTTATTCCGCCGCTTTGCATTAATCAATTTCTCATTCCGTCTAGATCCTTATCTTTTTATTTCACCTACAAACTCAACATGCCCCCCTCGAAGCCAAAGCCTTCAGAGATCGCCGCTGAGGCGAAGAAAACTTACGTCCCTTATATACGCAGTGCATGCCCGCAGTGGCCAGCTACTTCGTACTTATGCCATTCGGATTCTCTACGAGATCAGCCAATTAGGGAATCAAGACAGTATACATTTGGTAGGTATTCTAGGGCTTTGGGAAAATCTTAGATTTAGATTTATTGGCTAATGTTTCAAAGCTTTTATGAACGAGATCCCGTGGATCTAGCTCTTGAATGGACGGCCAGCGAGAATGATCGACCCATTCCAGTCATCATGCCGGCACATGAAAGGCGACCAGGTGGTGATTGGGAAGCTGGTATGCTCTTTCTAACCGGGTGCCTATTTCACTCTAACTCATTTCCTCAGGTGTTATGCAACCGGAAGAATGCTTAGCCAGACGAAGCACTCTATATACTTGCTTAACGACACCAGCCTCAGATAACATCACCTCGAATAATTACCCTATTCCCGAACGAGCTGGTATTATCTCTCAGAACGTTGGTAAGTTGACTAGACTCAAATGTGATATTTGCCTAACAAGCCCAAGTTGTTTTTCCGCAATGGACCAGAAAAGTATGAGCCGTGGTCAGAATACAAATGTGAGTTTTCAAAGCATTAACTACGAACTTCTTGTTAACAAATATCTCAGCACTGCCCATAATTTCTGTCCCTACCGTCAAGCGTCCTAAGCTTGATAGCTCAGGCAAAAAGTACTCTTTTAAAACGGAACGGGAATTGATGAAAGCTTCCATTAAGACCGCCTTGCGGATTGCAATTTTCTACGGTTATGATAAGATTGTAATCGGAACGTATGGGCTTGGCCCAGGTTTCAAGAATCCACCAGAAGAAGTTGCAAATATCTGGCGTGAGCTGCTCGTTCGTGACAACGAGTTCAATCAGCAGTTTTCAGCCATCATCTTTGCCTTTGAGCCATGTGAAGGTCCCGGAGGCTCCAGCTCCAGCAGTCCAAGTTCCTCATCAAAAAGTTCAAAGTCATCAAGCTCAAGTAACAAAACTTGTTTCACTCACGAACTCGAAATTTTCAGGCAGACGTTCAAGCCAGCAAATCTCCATGGCGCGTTCAAGGCTTGAAAATTTTCAACGGTGATGTTTGCTTGGCGTTCTAGGTGGTGCAAAGGGTAATAGCTGTCACGATGCAGGCATGGGTGTATTACATGGTGGCGTTTGTGACGCGACACGGAATACAGAATTCAGGCCTGGCTTAAGAGCGGTGGGAAAATGTTGGGACTACTTTATCATTTTTTCTGTAGTCAGCTATTCAATTGCGAGACATTATACATACGAATGATTCTTGTTACCTGTTCCTGAGAATACCTGATTACTATACAGGGATAAATTGGAAGGTGAGACAAACAGCTGAGGAAAGCTCCTTTAGTGATGGACTATATGGAATTTTATACGCCGATTACTTCCTCCAAGGAGGACCAACTAAATCCTATGGCTTGAAATGTAACTCCCTTGGAGAGACCAGGACTGATCGTCGTTGGACAACTTCGCCTAATGTTGAGCTGACGGATACGGGAATATCTCCGGTCTGTCTTTCATCACTCTTTGAATCAACCATTTGTTTATGCGGGATATCCAATTTCAGTCTTTTTTTATCAGCTCCTAATTCCCAAGACCTGATAAATCTCCGTTCCCAGAAATCACATCGTGGTCACAGCATGCGTCAAACGGAGATTTTCCTGCGCCTTCCTTAAAAGAAGACATCTACCCATCAGAAAGCTCAAGTACATTGTTTTGCGGCACCCAACGCAATTATAGTTTCACATCAATATGACATATGTGGCTCCGACCTCAACCAAATATGCAACATCCCGCACGATTCCGCCCCCAACAATACAACTCTCCAGATCTAGTACGACGTCCAGACACGGCCGAGCCTACTTCTCGGGCCCTCTACTTTGTCTCTCCTTGCAATGTGCAACGACGTTCGACCAAATCTGCGGATCCTGCATTGCGTAACTATTATCCGTATTGCTTTAGTCAATTGGTATGCATGTTCCCTACGTTACACGGCACTGTTCTGGAAGAAGAACGCTCGAATCGTGGAGGGGATTTGATCGGATCTGAAAGAGATGTCAAGGCTGCGGGCCGGCAGTGCAGTGTTACACGCGAGATATCGGCAATCGAAATCTCTGCACCTGTACCACTAAAGGTTGAGAAAATGTGGAGAGGTGAGATTGATGAGATTCGACGTCACAGATAGATTTGGGAAAATGCGTTGAGGTGGGACCGTGGACGAATATGATCATGTGAAATGATTGGTCTCGTTGGTACGCCGCTAGGAGAATATTTATTGGTATTGGTATCACGATGAATCTTTTCCGGATCTTGACTTAGGAGTTTTCTATCACAGCTGCATAATATGACGGATCGGAAATGTTGTGCAGCGTGAGAGAATATTGTTGTGGCATGATCTCGAGAAGCACTGACTGGCACAGTAAACGAGGGGGTACATCCATTCGGCCCCCAATATTACGGTTCCTGGAAACTTGAATCAAGGAGAAACATGTCACATTTTGTAACCACATATGACGTTGGGTATTTCTTAGAAGTCTGGAAAAAAATTCATTTGATTGTGGGCTTTCTGTCGAACACCCAATATTGTTTTCTCAGTCCGTCGAGCCACTTCATGAAAACTTTAATCTCAAGATCAAAATTCCAGATTTAGCTCCAAATTCGACTACTGATCTAACTGATCTAATCTATAGCCCAAACGTTCGTTTTCCGATGTCACAAAGGCTCGGCCCGAGTTCTCACGCCAGCCTCAAATGCCAGTCATGGCCATGCTGGTGCCGACTCGGGCTTAATCTTTCGGGTGACTTTGGTGGTACACAATCTTCCCGATCACAGTAACCTGGATGCTTGACCTCTTTGTACTCTTGCATATGATGTTGATTGTGCTGCGGACATTTCTTCTCCCAAAAGTAGCCGATAATGTGGCTACATCGTGGGCAGACAGTTTGCACGTAGATATACATTTGCTGTTGCTCTCTTTTTGCTTTTCTTAATTCTGAAAGTTGTGAGATATCTTGTAATGTAATGCTTGGATTGTTTTAAAGGGAAAGGTTGTACCATCTGAAACTTCTTATCATTTGTAGAGCACAAGCCGTGTCCAAATGATTCTTCACGCAACTGCTTTGACAATGTTCTTTGTTCGTGATTCATACTATGTTATTGTCTGAGACTTGTTTTCTTTGATAAAAAGCTTTTTCATTGTTCTCTATTTCTAAAAATAAGCCCACTTGCAAGCGAAGAAAGAGTTATCGATCTCCGGGTGAGCATGCCGGTTTCTGCATTATCTCCAAACAATGAACATCAGAGACACGTGTAACGGAGATAACTCCATTGCCTTCGTTAGATTCTAGAACACCCTTTCCTTGAGAACGTGTGATATTCTTTTGTGATCTAATGACTAGAAAAGGAACACGATTCTTAGCATGCTTTCCCATAGCCTTCAGATTCTTCCCAGAACTTTGTCGATTCACAAGTAACTTGCATATTTCCTCCTCCGTCTTCAAATCTTGGTCATCGCATAAGATATGTGCCTTCTCGAAATCAGATATTGCATCACATGCAAAAGTCGGACAAGCGTGCGCTTCGTTCCTCCGAATCCGGCCTTAAAAGTATTCGTACCGGAAGTCAAACAGATACCGGTATGCTGTTCCAAATGTACCAGTCTCCCGACGAAAAATCGAATGCCAACGAACGAAGATCCATTCATGAGACGATGATAGGATATATAGCATGAGATTCTATGAATAGCTGGCGATTGATGGTTCCAGTTGCAAAGAATGAATAGGAAGGGATCACGAAATCACATTATCGATCATGATATGAGTAGCCCTTGGAAAATGATCAGTACTCCAACTCATGTGGTCATGGAGTCATTATGAATGGCAAGGGGGGCAATTGAACAGTGCAGGAACAGCCTCTCGACTCTCGAAGAACACATCTCTCCGTCGTTAGCAAGGGATGCGCATACACGCCTGGAAATTAAATTTCAAGTGGTGAAGTAGAGACTGCTTTAAAATTCATCAACACTTTAAGCTCTCTGCTTAGTACACCTAGATCACATACGAATTAATGAACAAGTTCAAAACAAACCCCTTCTTCAATCTATATAAACCCCTCATTCCTTCTGTTCATATCCTTTCTATTTTCTCATCAGCATTCCTAAATTCACAGAAATCAGAAACACAAAATCCCGAATCATCAAAGCGAATTTCAGAAGCCCCAACCCAAAGATCACAATCATGAATTCCATTTTCATGACGATCTTCCTCTTCCTCGCAATCAACAGCCTCACAGCAGCGATCACCGCTCAAGAGCGACACGACCGAACCCACGACATCTTCACCTTCTACCACCACGACGTCGGTGCCGAATTGAAGCCCCACCACTTCATTCTCGACCTCAATTGCCACGTCGTACCCACCTCACACCCAACCACAATCAAACTCTCTTGTGCTCTCGAAAGCACTAGGCGAGTACACGAGTCCGACAACAACCCCGTCGATTTCCAAATCCATTTCCAATCCAAAGGAGTCCCGACCTTTCGCAATGGACGCATGATTCGACCGACAATTCTTCAACCTTTCACAATTTTACATTCGTATGTTCCTCAAGGAGAGGAGCGGATTGCAATGGAGGTGGCATGTCTGAAGACTCATCGGGAATGGCTTCACGGACAAGCTCAAGCGGATATTTCATGCGATGTTTTGAAGGTGGAAGCAGTGGATACACGAGGTGAGGCCAAGCAATGACGGCTCTTTTCTTTTGGCGAGAAAATGAGGTGCGGTTGAGTGGAGCTGAGAATTGGTGATTTATTTCCTTTTGTTCCGTCATTGTCAACACCTAAAATACCAAACATTTCACGAAAAAAACTTCACCCCTTAAATAAAATTTGATTACTCCATTACAAAAACCGTCCAATGTACTATATACAAATATATCGATATCAAATTAGCCATCAGAAATTCAACAGCAACACACACCAAATCTACACAGTGAATATTGCCTCTCATGTGATGCACCACGTATCGCCTAATTTCGCGAGAAGAGAAATAGACCTTGCAATTGAAAAAGAGAAGGCGAATGTCAAAATTGTATATTTACCTGCGATACCTTTTAATACTCGCGCTCTTCAAAATTCTAATCAAGATCTCAATTCAAACAATCCTCCAATTCCAGACTTGTGAGCTAGTTAGTTTCTCAAATTTCGTGGGGTGTTTGACTTAACACTCGTCTCTCACTGTGTGTGACAATGAATATATTTTCAGACAAGGCGAACTCTGACACATACGACCATAGACTGAAGAGAATTGGGCATCCCGTCCGCTCTGCCATACACAAGCTTCAGATCGGTGGATTAGTAGTTGGGTGGGTGACCACCAGCGAATCCCCACTGTTGTATGTCTTTTTTGCAAAACATTTTGGTCTGGTGGATCACCTCTTTGTAAAACTTCATTTTGGTTGGGCCGACTGAGGAATTGCACAGTTCATTCTTATTTTCATCGTCGCTCAGATTGGGTGGGGGAATCATGTCTCACCCACTCACTACATGTTGAAACAAAGAGATTTTGTATTGGTCTCAGGTGGTCTCTCGATATAGACAGTAACTGCATTTCGAAGAAGCTATTGGACACCAGAGAAGCGAGTTCTCCGGCTCGCTATCTACGAGATAGAAACGGAACAAGAACGATAGCTATCAAGGATATGAAAGATGGATACCCTTGCCTCACACCCAGATGGCAGAAACACGCCCACCTCTTCTAAGATTATTTTTGAACAATCCTCAAACAACGACACGTATCGCCCACTTATACCCCTCCCTAATCACTTTTTAATCCCACGTATCCTTCCACACAACTAACAAGACCGACATCATACGATATTTCTACATGACGACCAAGCTCATCAAGCCTAAGCCAGAAAAAGCACCAGCCAAAGACGAGGTAAACCCGCACGGAATTTCTATCTTTGCCTGCGGATGTAGAATAGAGGATGAGCGTCCGATACTCGAAAAACTCAGGACCACTTGGTGCTGCTTCATGAAAGTAGAAGCCCCAAAGCCAGTCGTTGAACGTCTGTTTGGGTTCAGATGCAAGAATTGTGCTAGTCTCGGTCGAGTGTGAGTATTTTGAGTATTCGAAACATCACATTATGTGTTAATGTCAGATGAGAAGCTACTGAGTTCCTGCTCCTACAATAAACACTAGCTGTTGCTGAGCATATTCTTAAAATGATTTCAATATTAACTTCCCTAGAGCAAGAGCTTGTAGCGAGAACAAAGGAATAAAACTATTTCACCAAATGATCCACATGCAAAACCTGTGACCAAATGAAAATGAAACATGTGAGAAGCTAGAATATCAGACAGTAAATTAACGACGCCACATAAGGGCTGTGACGAGGCCTCATCAGAGACATCTTCTTCCCGTGGAAAAGTTGCTGCGAAAATGACGTAGAGAAAATACACTGCAACTAAATAGAGAACATCAGCTTCACTGCATATTCAAGCGAGATATTACATAAAAAAGAACCCCAGATGTGCTTGAAAAAAATCCACCAATAAAAATATTCTACCTTCTCCTAGAGACAGATATCGGTCGCACAGCATTTCTCCACATCCCACATATTCAGTGGACGAATGAAAAAAATCAGGAATCCTCTTCAATTGTTTCAAATTTATTCTTCCCAAGCCGTGAAAATATTTTGAATCTAGGATTAGACAACGAGGGATCTCCTAACCCTGCAAATCCTACCATCCGAAGACTCCTCGGCTTCTCGCCAATGCGTACCACAAGAACCTATTTTGCCACCGGAACACTCATCCGCGCTCACTCAAACGCATGACTTTCAAAATAAACGCTTTGCCAACAATAGTATTTGAAATGAAATCTTCCGCCCGCCTAGTCTCAACTCCATGTAAATACCTCTCTCAAAACCGTTTTCCGCGCATATACGCCCTGCATGACTACCACCATCTCCTTCCCGACAGTTCGTCACTTCGGTCCTTCTTCCCTGTACCATCCACATCATATACTATTTTGAGCCAATTCTCTACCATTTACGTCCAGAGTTTAGCAAGCGAGGTTAAAAGGACATGGATTCGTGCGTTTTAGCAAGCATTACTTTAGCCGTATGTATGGTGTAAAGTGCCGACGCCGTACATAAGCATAAATAGAGTTGCATTCCCTAGTCTCTACCACACTTGTATCGACCATGGCACCATCCAAATACTCCCTTGGAGATGGAAAAGGATATACGAGCGGAAAATGGGACATGTAAAATGAAAATAGGACATGTAAAATAGGAATTGACGAGGGCAAACATTTTTTTTTAATTTTATTTTTCAAACACTAACAAAGCCCGGGGCTCGGCACACTGGGTAAATAGTACCCGGCGGGTCAGCGTCTATTTACGAAAACGGGGGATAAATAAGGCTCGGGACGACACGCATGTTTGCAGGATTACCTTGGCAAATTTCTCGACTTCCTACGAAGTAGTGATTAACAAAATCAATGAATGAACCCTTGGTCTGGCTAATCATGAAAGGGACTGTATCCATACTAAGCGGCGACCGAGTTCAGCAAGGCGAAGCCGAGATCGTTTGAAGAAATAATGATTTGAGTCGGGATCGAGATTTGGATGTTAAATGTTGACTGGTTTTTTATGCACGCTAATCACATATACTGTCACACTACAGTTCCATTTCCTCCCCCTACCAAAATCCGACTCCAAAATTCCCTATTTTCTTTTCGGGCTTGAATTACGCCGTACAATTTTCTTCATCCATCAAACATCATGAATTTACCAGTAGGGAGGTCTCAAACCTGTAAAATTCGATGTTATTGAGGAATTGTCCCCGCTATCATCCTTTTTTCTTTGGCCGGTTAACTATTTCCGCAGATAATGTTAGCATTAATGTTTCAGTCTTGGTTGGAAAAGAGATGGCTTACCTCCAACTGCACGTGCCGATGCAGGTGCACCAACCAATCCACATAGCTCTGGGCCTCATTGTTTCTATCTTCCACCAATAGTCTGGCAAATTCATATTCTGCACCGTCAAGACCTTGTCTTGCAAGTTGAATTGTCAGAGCTTTCGCTCCACGCATTGTCTTCAGATATTCTAGTATGTTTCGCACTTGGGCGCTGAGATGAGTCTGAAGCACAGGTAGAGATGAGAGATATGGGTCCAATGCCTTGAGGTTATCTTTATCTTCGCCAAATAAATCAATGATAAGATTGGGTGAAGTTTGGCCGTGCATCCATAAGTAACAATTCTGTCCATTGTCCACAAGGTATACCCCACCCTCTTCAACTCTGGCGAAAGAAGCCCGTACTGAGGGTGGCATCCTAAGGTGACCGTCTTCATTTGCAAACCCATCTTCGGGGGCAAGGTTGTGAATTGGGATCATGCGAGGATAAAGGTATAAAGAAAGCTCTAGAGCACCCATACTTTTGATCATACGCGCGTCGTGAACTCGGCGGTCGGAAGGTTCTTGTCCGCCTTTGAAAGCGCGAGATTTGACAAGACCCAGAATGTACATACTGAATTCTTTGAGGTGCTCTGGTAGAACTAATTGACCTGGAGGATGGGATCCCGAAAAATTCTTACGATATCCTGCCAAGATATCGACATTTTTCTCTGACAGGGCACCTCGAATTTCCTTTAATGAGTGTGCAAGCATTTTCGATGCTGCCTCTTTGGCAATCAACGCATAAATAGCATCTTGATCCACAAAGTTCATACAATCCTTAGCTTGATCGCTCACGCTAGCGATAACATTTGAGCACCTAACTCTTCGCTGACCACCAGCTGTAGTGTAGAGTAGAGCACTTTGAAAGTGTGCATCCAACTTGGAATCTAGCTTTCCGTCATAGCTGAATAAGACTCCCATAGCTTTGTCTGCATCAATAACGCCAAACTCAATATCAGCTCCAAAGGTATGTTGGATGAAATTGCCATGATATGAAGAGATCTGTAAGCCATTGGAACATCGGACCTTCATCAGCGCTTGATATCCAGTCTCACGTGTAACGGAGCGCACAACTTCATGCGACAATTTCTCATTGTCTCTTGGAGAGACGAAGTTGGGGTAGTAGAATGTTTCTCCTCCAGTGGCAGCAGCAACATGACCTAAGAATGCGATTAGTAATCCCAGTAATTAGGATATAAGTTTGGAGGTATTTACCGATTGTTGCAATATCAAGATAACCACCACCAGGAGCAGCAAGGAATAAGTCAATGCCAACTCCAGTTGCGACCATCTTATCCGCTGCTTTCCTCCAGCCAGGATGTTCAGTTGTAAAGAGCTTTTTGTCTTGTTCTCCGCCATGTTGTTTCCCATCATCACGGAGGAACAACCTACCAGGTCCCCAGGTTGGAAGAGCCGACAGAGAACACACAATCTTTCCTCCAGTCTTCTCAAGAGCTGCCATGGCTGCATTAATAGTAGGAAGTAATGCCGGCTCAGGATTTTTAACTTGAGAGAATATTTGTGGGAGTTGACTCAGTAAAGATGTAATGTTGGACTTCGCGTCATACGGATCCACGAAAAATCCATCACTAAGGGGAACAAATGGGTCCTCAATATCCGGCATGATCAACATCTGAGCTTGATCTAGTGCAGGATTCATGTTATAAAAGTGAATGTCCTTGTCAAAGGTTACGAATCCGACCTTTGATCCTAGGGGAATTCTGCGTTTCGAAGATCCATCCTCTTCAGTTGAATCATCACCTCCATACAAAGCTGCCAGAATGCCTTCACAGAATGCTTCCAAGAATCCCTTGTTTAGCGCTTCTTGGCCTACATCAATCAAGAAAATCCATCTTAAACCCACCGGCTCTTGCGACCAGTATTCTTTCGGAACCAAGAACTCCACAGTACCTCGCATCAACTCGGGCCTCTGTTCCCTATCAACTCTAGCCCCCTGTGGTGTAATCGCACTAAAGTAATCCGAAGGTACATCATTTGCATAGTTGCACATATTGCACACAAACTTGTTGCCCCCAGATCTGAATACCATAAATGGGTTGATGTATGCACGGCATCTATGACATCTAGGGGGGCCTGTTTCTCCAAAGTCCAAAACTGGTATTTCGAGCTCCCCTGGCTGTAATGGGGCTAATGGTTGTAAGAGAAGACCAAGTGGCAGCCCAGTTGAATGTAACGCATCTGCCGTGGATGGGATGTTGTTCATTGTCAAACGTGCAAACTTTGGTGAAGCGTTTCCTTGGTCATAAGCAACGAACGGCACTGTGGCTGTTGGAGGAAGATGATGCTCAAATGTTGGGTATACGTTCTTCAGGTAATACTGCGCTATCGCATCTCTCGATCGAGGTACACTAGGAATTTGATCTGGATCTACTCGGCCTTGCGCCGAAGTCTGCACATTAGCAGAGAAACTGTCCCCGGGTCCAGTTGCAGCAGCATATTCATTAAGTGTGGCGGGATTCGCAGGATTAAACGGCGCATTCACAGGGGCAGGAAACTGTGACATTTGAGGTGTAATGGGCGAATTTAGGAACTGGCCGCCTGGAGACGACATTGATGAAGGGTCGGCATTGAGATAAGCTGAAGGGGGAACACCGCCCTGTGGCATTCCATTAAATGCTTGCGAAGAGCCTTGAGCTTCGACAACATGATATGCGTGCCTATCCTTCTTCTTTTTCCTCGGAGCTGGTTGTTGATTCGATATCTGTAAATTCTCCATGCCGAGATCGTTTGGGTCTGTGGGATGCATCATAGGATTTCCCTGACCTTGGTAGAGAGGCTGGCCCCCATAAGAAGGCTGCTGTTGCTATAAATCATGATCAGCTCATGGACAGAAGCAGGAAACGATCCTAGAAGACTTGTAAATAGAACAGATTGCCTTACAAAAGGAGGTTGCGCCATTTGTCTGTCGAAGATTCAGATAGCTGCAAGATATTATAATATTAAATGAATTTGCAATAGTAGAGAGTCAGCGACGACAGATGTCATTAACAGGAAAAACTGGCAAAAAACATTGAAATATAAGCCAAGGTATTAACTGGATGGAATTGAGGATATAAATTCCGCCCAATACTTCCTTAAGGCTACCTTGCCTTATGTACCCAGTAATTTCGGACCAGACCTAAACCTTAAATTTTTAGCGTGTATCAATTATTGGGCTTCTAGGTCGCGGCTACAGCCTTTCAAGATAGCCTTGCATTGCTCTTTATTATTGTCAACCTTGAGACAAATACATCGCATTCCTTCTCTCTTTTGTATCCATCACAGAATGCGATAACAATGTTTACCTTTTTGTTCTTTACAGGGAGCGCAATCCGACATCATCGGCGTCGCAATCTTTACTTGAGCTTGATGGAGGGATCAAGGTGCTGATTGATGTAGGATGGGATGAAACTTTCGACGTGGAAAAGTTAAGGGAGCTGGAGAAACAAATCCCTACGCTTTCACTTATTTTACTTACTCATGCGACCGTTCCTCATATCGCAGCCTACGCTCATTGTTGCAAGCACTTCCCTCTCTTCACTCGAATACCTGTCTATGCGACACATCCTGTCATCGCGCTTGGGAGAACTCTATTACAAGACTTGTATTGCTCAACACCATTAGCATCAACCATTATACCCACAACGTCCGCTTTCCTCCTTCAATCCCAACGAAAAGAAGAAATTAACTACTACTTCTCGCTTGTTCGTCCTTTGAAATATTCACAGCCTCATCAACCACTGAATGGGGTAACAATTACGGCCTACAATGCTGGACATAGTTTAGGAGGCACGATATGGCATATTCAACACGGACTTGAGTCTATAGTATACGCAGTTGACTGGAATCAAGCTCGCGAGAATGTTTTGGCTGGTGCAGCCTGGTTGGGTGGGGCGGGGGCTGGAGGAGCTGAGGTTATTGAACAATTACGGAAACCAACCGCGTTGATATGCAGCAGTAAAGGAGGAGAACGAGTTGCCTTACCTGGAGGTCGGGCCAAGAGAGATGAACTTCTACTGGATATGATTAGATCATCAATCAGCAGAGGAGGAATTGTCCTTATACCGACAGATTCTGGAGCGCGAATGATGGAACTTGCATATCTTCTAGAGCATGCTTGGAGAACAGAAAACCAGGAGGAAGAAAGCGCATTCAAATCTGCGAAACCTTATCTAGCAGTGAGTACGAGCGAAATGACGATGAGATATACAAGAAGTATGTTTGAATGGATGGACGAAGCTATCATTCGGGAGTTTGAAGCGCAGCCTGGCCATGAGGAACAGCGAACTGGACAACAAAGGAGAAATACGGAGGAAGCAAAACAACACATTGGCCCATTCGAATTTAAACACCTTCGATTACTTGGGCGAAAGGGTCAAATCGACCGAATGTTGAATGAGACGGACAATTTAGGACGATCAGTAGGGAAGGTTATCCTTGCCAGTGACACTTCCATTGAATGGGGATTTTCGAAGGAGGTCCTATGCAAAATCGCGGACGATGATAAGAATCTTTTGATTTTAACAGAGCGACTGAATCCGATAAGTGGAGCTCCAAGTCTAGGAAGAACTTTATGGTCATGGTGGGAAGAACGACGCGATGGAGTCACTTCGGAACCAAGCTCAAGTGGAGGAATTCTGGAACAGGTATACGGAGGAGGAAGAGATCTCGAAATCAGAGAACCCAAACGCATACCATTAGAGGGTAATGATCTGACTGTTTATCAACAGTGGTTGGCAACACAACGTCAATTGCAGACCACTCTTCAACCGGGTGGCGCTACAGCTCTTGAGGCTTCTGCTGATATTGTTGATGATGCTTCATCGGATTCATCGTCAGATTCTGATGACTCTGAGAATGAACAGCAAGGAAAGGCTCTTAACATATCCGCAACCATGGGCCAAGCAAATCGGAAGAAGATTGGCTTGAGTGATGAAGATCTTGGCGTTAATATCCTTCTTCGGAAGAAAGGCGTTCACGATTTCGATGTGAGAGGGAAGAAAGGCCGTGATAAGATGTTTCCCATGGCGATTAGGAGGAAGCGAAATGATGATTTCGGAGAACTTATTAGACCAGGTGAATTTCTACGGGCTGAAGAACGAGACGAGGTGGATGGACAGGAGCCACAGCGACCTGGAAAATATGATACGAAAGATACCCTTGGCAAAAAAAGAAAATGGGATGATGTTGCAGCTTCCGGTAAACGTGGAGCGTCGAATGAAGGAAAGCGACAGCAGATCGGCAATAACGAGGATGGCTCAGTTGCAGAAGTTCCAGAAGAAGATGACCCAATGGATATTATAGAAGAAGAGATTCCTGGACCATCCAGACTAGAAATCTCGATCAAGACGCTCAAAATTAATCTTCGAATTGCATTTGTCGACTTCTCCGGACTTCACGACAAACGCAGTCTTCAAATGTTGATACCTCTAATCCAACCTCGGAAGTTGATATTAGTTGGCGGTATGAAAGAAGAGACATTAGCACTCGCATGCGATTGTAGAAAGCTTCTTGGTAGCACGAAAGAAAAACTCATCGATGTGTACACTCCAGAGATTGGTGTCATTATTGACGCAAGTGTAGACACCAATGCGTGGGCTGTTAAACTCACTGATTCTTTGGTAAAACAACTACGCTGGCAGAACGTCAAGGGACTAGGAATTGTTACTCTTACTGGCCGACTAGAAACTACACATATTGACAGCGATTCACACAACTCAGAAGGTGCCAATAAGAAGCAAAAGATGATAAAAGAGGAGTCAGAAGAAATTCCAACACAGGCAGCTCTTGATTCAGCAAAAGCCGTTGTTGAGATGCCAATTTTGGATGTCCTACCTTCGAATATGGCGTCGGCAACAAGATCGGTTGCTCAGCCATTGCATGTGGGCGATTTAAGGTTAACCGATCTGCGAAAAATCATGCAATCTTCTGGTCTTACTGCTGAACTCAGAGGAGAAGGTACTCTTTTAATCGACGGATCTGTGATTGTCCGTAAGACTGGCACCGGGAGAATCGAGGTAGAAAGTGTTGGCGTCACAACGAGTTCCTTTTACGCTGTTAAAGGGAAAATCTATGAAGGTCTTGCGGTAGTGGCAGGTGGATAAAACATTAATAGTCGGCTCTTGAAAGGGGCCAACTGGAAGAACCAACTATTGCAATCAAACTTCATTGGTCTTTTCGAAAAATTAAGGATAGGTGAAAACTGCATCTTTTTGTACTAGTATCATACATAGGAGGCCTCAAGGTTAGGTTTAGTCCTACATTCACAAAATCTAACGATATACCTAAAATTACTTGTTGGTGATTCATCCTTTGATTGCCAAGTAATGCTTTAGTATGTTTCTGATTCTTTTGTAGAATTTTTTTTGAATCATCGGAGGGAAGTTTCTTGATCGAAAATGTCTCATGATTCACAAACATTTTCCCCATTCACGACCACTATTTTTTCTGGTCCGGATCTGACCCCCTTTCATCGTCTATTTAATCAAGGCTCTTCTTTCTTACAACTCCAAACAATGTATCAACACTCTATTCATCTACAATCTCCGTTTATGCCCCTTGTCGCTCATATATCTACAACTTTCACACATCTTTTTAGTCAACTACCAGAACATAAGCTTCGGCATTTTTAGGTTCGACTCGCCATCGTGGCGTCCTCTCAAGAACCAAACCTTGTAACTTTACCTTCATACGAAGACGTGCAAGTTATCGTTTCGTACAAAACCCTTTGTGATCCTTTCGACAAGATCCAGCAGGTCCAGCTTCTCCGCATACAGATTTTCGACATCACAGGTTACGAAATCTTCTACTATCAAGAACTCGTAGCAAAATCCGATCCCTTAAGTGGTTGGAACAGATACTACGGTCGAGACCCGGGACCACCGCCTCCACCATTTCCACCTCAACAACCTTTTCCACCTAGACAACAAATATATCAACTGCCAATCTCACACAACCCCGTCGCACATTCTTCTAGTCTGCAACAATAAATGGCTGGCATACCATTCAACTCCTACCACGGTCCAGATTCGGGTCCTCTTCCCCCAAGCGTCGGTATGGCATTCCCAAACTTCCCATTTCCCATGGGCTACGCGCCATCGCCTTATGGCTGCCCCGATCATTACTCTACGGGCTACGGCCCACCAGGTTTTGCAGCTCCTCCGTATCCTTTTTCCAGCACTCACCCCGCGCCCCCTTCTGCCGATAAAAGCGGTATGCCCGGTATCACGTCAAGAATCAATTCGACGGCATCGGTCTTCCCCCAGGCTACAATTACCTCTTTCCCCCCTCTCTACTGCCTGTGCATGTCTTCATAACCGGCTCCACACCCCCCTGGCTCGCAAACTCCCCGCTCTATCCACATGATGTGGCTAATCATCGTAAGTTTTTTGTTCCGTCTACCATGACAATCAAGGATATGATGCAGCAACTGGGTTGTAGCAATAAGGATGCCGATAAGAATGTGATGACGGAGGTCCAGGAAGTGGGGAATGGAAAGTGGGACTAAGGGAATGGTTTTTTAAGGGAGGAAATGGTCAGAGGATGAAAATGACGCTTGCAAGTTTGGGGTGGGATATGGGAAGAAAGAGAACCGGGTTGCCTGGGCAAGGTCCGTTAATCTGGGTCTATCTTACTGGGGATTAGATGGAAGTGGATGGGAGGAGGTTTGGGGTTTGGAGATGTGGGTGGAATGCTGTAATTGGGGTTGAGATAAGGGTCGTCGCTTCGAAGGATTTCTTTTTCACGACAAAGTGTGGCTTTCCACTCCATGGTGTTTCATGAGAATCTATTCAGGTCTATTTGGGCTTTTGCATAATGGTTTCGTCGTATGGGATATGTTCATCAAACAGGAATCGCAGAGGAATGCGAGGTTTCTATAGTATTATTAATCGAGTAGTTTACGCATTCTAGCAATATAACATTAGGTTACTTAATTAAATGAGTGCGCGCAATCGTGATCTTACATGGTTGTGTTTTTAAACTCTCCTTCCATACCTATTCGTGATTCATAAACGAAACATGTTGCATTGTATTCACTGTCGCTTCGCCCCTTTCGATTTTCGCTTGCAACTCGCCTGTGTTCTGTGAATGGATCATTGTGGCCATAGTTAGAGTGATTCAGAAATGTTCCGGATATACATACATAGTTGGCAGATTTACTCAGGTGACTTTGAGATAAATGGACTGTATTGTTTTGTTTTTATAAGGAACGAAAAAACACAATATTAATCATGGGGGATCATATTTTCGGGTATAGAGATATGTATGAAAAGACCTCGCTCCATCTATCGCAGGAATTCGATAACTCGCATGCAAACAAAGATGTCTATACTATTCCAATGAGTAGTTTCTTTTCTGTTGTGGATTCGCTTCTCTCTTTTGAATGACAACAAGTGATCCGAAATTTAATAATCATGAATCCAATCAAACTTTTGACGGACGGACATCTTTACGCGGGCAGTGCGCTATATTTTTGTATGATGCGGTGGCACGCATGGATGCGAGACGCACAACAGACTCATAAAAGTCGTATTTCATTCAAGTTGACGATCTTGTCAGAAGGTTGGTCATGTTGACATTGTTTGATCGAGGGATTAGTCAGTCCCTCCAACTCCTAGAATAGACAAGAGTAGCACAGCAGAACCGCTTCAAATTGCACCGTAACCCATGAATGTCGGCCGTAGCAACCGCTGTTCGTGTAGGTTTGAAGACAAGATGTAGGATAGTGTTCAAGATGGTGTATTCCAGTTGCGAAGAAATAACGAGAAGACGAGTTTTTGCCACTGTCCTTATGCGCTTTGCCCTTCGCTTGCACCTCGTCTGCACCTCGTCTGCTATCCATGGATGAATGTGCGACAATGAATAAGAAACATTACGGAACAATCGGCTATCACTGTACGGGTATGCAAGCGTAAGATAAGAGTGAGTTAACCGGGATTACCGAAAGCTCTTTTAGGAAAGTCCATGCGAAACACGGAGTCAGAAATTCCACAAAATATCGGATTACACTTCAGCATTTCCGATATCATGAACTCGATGCACACAATCCACATCGCCGTCGACACATCGAAATGCATCTAAAGTTTAAGATTCCAAACCCTATGTGTTTCACAGACAACGATAATACATATGACAAGCAAACATTAAGTAAAAATTCGCTAATCAACCTATCTTCATACGCAGCAAATTCTTGAATCATGGATCTCTCAGAGATCTATCATCACTATTCCGACCCCGCGTTGCTCCTTTTGGAATGTCCATGCGAATGATAAAAGATAGTGGATGAAGTGAAAGTGGGGTTTCTACAGACACATAACTTGAAAAATATATGCAACATCTAACAGGACAACGATAAGATTATGCGAATGCTATGATTCGAAAGAGGGGTCCAATAGATTGTAATGGAAAGTTATCGTACAAGATTCATTCATAATTGAAATACGAAGATCTTGGCTCATTACTCCGGTAGCTGGAAGCCGTATATATATCGAGGGACTCCTCGTTTTTTTTCTTCTTTCCATCTTGCATCTTCACATTGTATTTTTTCTGAGCAGCTTTTGGATACTCGCTTCCACAACGCATACAATGTCTACAGCCGAAGTTTCAACTTCCCTCCCTTTTGTGGGAGCCAAGAAAACTATCTTGGAACATCCTCTCGGTCCATTGACTGCTGCAGAGATCTTGCAGAGTTCGCAGATTATTAAGAGTTCATGGCCTGCTGAGGTTACGCTTCAATTCAAGAGTATTACCCTCGAGGAACCAAAAAAGGCTGAATTAGTCCCATTTCTCGCTGCTGAACATTCCGGATCTGCTCTCCCAAAGATCGATAGAAGGAGTTTTGTGGTTTACTATATTAAAAATACTGTAAGTCTAGTTACTCGAGTTCCTTCATGTCTATTTTTTTCGAGTGGCAATTGTTTTAAAATCGCTCGGGAACTGATACTGATATGCCCTCTATAGGATAAATTACACGAAGCTATCGTCAACCTGTCTGCTGGACAGGTAGAGAGCAATGTCAGACTTGGCCCCAATGTTCACAGTGGTGCCGATTCGGAAGAACTGGTAGCAGTCGAGTTAATTGCCCTGGAAGATGAGGGAGTAAAAGCCGCAATTGCAAAGCTCCAACTGCCAGAAGGCACTGTAGTTGTTTGCGACCCATGGATTTATGGTAGATTTACCTCAGTCATTTCGAATGAAAGTTGTACTGACAATTCTTAGGCTCCGATGGAGTTAACGAGGGACTTTTCACTGACGATAAACGCTATTTCCAATGTTTCCTTTACATTCGAGACCCAAAGAACCCTAATGAGGTCGATGGTAACCATTATGCTATGCCTCTTACCATTTCCCCAGTCGTCAGTGCCGAGACCATGAAAGTTACACGTATCGATATCATGCCAACTGGAGCCGACAGCACAATCAAGGAACTCTCACCATACAAAGTTCAACCTCCAAACGAATATATCCCAGAAGCACAAGATCTCCGAAAAGATCTCAAGCCATTGAACGTCATCCAGCCAGAAGGTGCTTCATTCGAAGTTACCAAGTTCAGTGAACAGGGGCATACTATAGAGTGGCAAAAATGGAGTTTCAAGGTTGGTTTCAACTTGAGAGAAGGTATGGTTCTCTACGATGTTCACTATGATGGACGCCCTCTCTTCTACAGATTGTCTCTTTCGGATATGAACATTCCATATGCCGATCCTCGTAACCCATTCCACAGAAAGGCTGCTTTCGATCTCGGTGATGTTGGTGCAGGGATCACTGCAAACAACCTTCAACTTGGATGTGATTGCCTTGGTTCAATCCACTACCTCTCCGCCGTTCTCAATGATGACAAAGGAGGAGTGCTTGAAATGCCAAACGTAGTCTGTATTCACGAACAAGACAACGGTATCGGATGGAAACACACCAACTACAGAACCGGCCGTGCAGCCGTCGTCCGCAACAGAGAGCTCGTCCTCCAATCCATTCTCACCGTCGCAAACTACGAGTACATTCTCGCCTTCCAATTCAACCAAGCCGGAGAACTTATGTACGAGGTCCGCGCCACCGGTATCCTCTCCACCCAACCTATCGATGAAGGTCTCACCGTCCCATGGGGCACAGTCGTGCACCCCGGTGTCCTCGCCGCCCACCATCAACACATCTTTTCTCTCCGTGTGGACCCTATGCTCGACGGCCCTCTCAACACCGTTGTCTACGACGAAGCGCACCCCATGCCACGCAGCGACTTCAACCCCCACGGTGTCGGTTACACCGTCGAAACCAAACCTATCACCGTCTCCGGCGGCTACGATCTCAACTACGACGTCAACCGCACCTTCAAGATCCAGAACTCCTCTGTCAAGAACCCAATCAACGGAAAACCCGTCGCCTACAAAATTCACGTTCCTCCCTTCCAAAAGATGCTCGCGGACAAGGACTCTTTCCACCACAAACGTGCCGAATTCGCAGACCACAACATCTACGTCACATCCTACCGGGACGGTGAGCTCTACGCCGGAGGAAAATACACCAACCAATCGCGCGGCGGTACCGGTGTGCGTTCCTTCGCTGATCGTCAAGATAACGTGCAAGATGATGACATTGTCGTCTGGGTTCAATTTGGTATCAATCATGTCCCACGGATTGAAGATTTCCCCGTCATGCCGGTGGAGATTATCAAGGTTGGATTGAAACCAGTTAATTTCTTCACCAAGAACCCCGCGTTGGATGTGCCACCCTCGGAGCAAAGCTTCAACAAGAGTGTATTGGCAAAAGATAGCGCGGCACAGCACAAGCAGGAGGCTGGCGAGGCGGTAATTGGTTCCAGCGGAAATGTGTGCTGTGTGAAGGAGGGGAGCAAGTTGTAAGTAAGATGCGAGGAAGCGAGCTTGACAACAAATTTAATTGCCAGCTACGAAGTTGATACGATGACGATGAAGTTTTATATGGGTTAGACGTATTCTACATGTACGGCGTTTGGGATTGCTTGAGATGTATATAGAAGGCGTTGGGAAACACGGATATACCAGGAGAATGGCTAGCTACCTACCAACCCCAGGGAAGGGGATCTTTTTTAGCTGAAAGTCATGTAGAAATATATATATATATTGTACTCCAAATTTCTGCTGTTGCGTTTGATTTTCATTTTCATTTGTGATGTGTGAGTGGAAGAGGTGGGTGTAAAGGGGTGTGAATTCGTGAGAGGAATAGATAGATTACTCTGTGTATTTTTGCTGACGAGTCAACGATGCTGAACTTCACATACATTTATTGTCTCGGACATGCTGATGTGGGTATTATTTATTTCTTGTTTCTTATTCTACATGAA